TCATGTCACTTTCTCCTTACCCCCTCTGTAGTTGGGGTAGTGTGAGCTTAACTTGAATGGACTCCATGCCACCCCATGTGACTTTGACTTCATTGTACTCCACTGCAATCTACCAGTGTCAGCTGTGTTCTACCACAGTCTCCTGTACAGTCAACATATTCAATTATATCGCAGTCTACCATAATCCACTACAGCCTACCACATCCAGGTACAGCCTACCACAGTCAGCTACAGCCCACCACAATCCACTACAGCCTTTCACAGCCAGCTGCAGTTGACTACAGCTAGCTATAGCCCACCACAGTCGGCTATAGCCCGCCACAGCCAGCTATAGTCTGCCACAGCCAGCTACAACCTATCACAATCCACTGCAGTCTGCCACAGCCAGCTACAGTCTGCTGCAGTCAGCTACAGCCTACCACATTCTACTACAGCCTGCCACAGACAACTGTAGTCAATCATAGCCAGATACAGTCTACCACAGCCAGCTACAGTCTGCCACAGCAAGGTACAATCTACCACGGTATACCATAGTTGACCATGGTTACTGCCCCTCTTCTCACTACTCAGTGTTCTCCGTGTTCTGGTTTCTTGTTCAGTTTTCATTTTCTGATGTCTGTCTTCCAGAGAGACATCTGTAGGTGGGAAAGCTTTTAGAATCCTTGGATGTCTAAAAATGTTATTCCCACATAAAATCTAATTTTACTGAGCATTGGAATCTCAATTCACAACTATTTTCCTGCAAAGCCACTGCCATCTGCCAGACAGTGTGGATACTGGAATGACAGATTCCAGTCTCATGGGCTTTCTCAGAAGATCATCTCTTTCCTCCTTTCCTTGTCCCGGTTTTATCTGCGTTGCATTGACGTTCCACAAAGATGTGCCTGGCACATGCGAGGCTTTGTGCTGTTGGGTGCTCTGTGAGGTCTTCTACATTCAAGCTGTTTCTCCTTTGGTTCTGAGAAATCTCCTTCTGTTACTTCTTTATGCTTTTAGTTTAAACAGTTTATGTATTTTATCCGCTTGAAAGGCAGAGAGGCAGACACACACACGCACAGATTTCTCGTCCACTGGGTCACTCCCCGTGGATGGGAAATCCCACAGCAGCTAGGCCTGGGCCTGGGCTGGTATGGGGTTGAAGCTAGGAGTTCAGAATTTACTCTGCGTTCCCTGTGTGGGTGGTAGGTACCCAAGTGCTGTGTCAACGTTGTTGTCTCTAAGGCTGTGCAGGAGCAGGAAAGGAGTTGGAAGCAGAGACAGAACTTGAACGCCAGCACTCTGGTGTGGGCTGTGGGCATCCCGACAGCTTCTTAGCTCCTGTGTGCCACCCCTTCTTTTGCTGCTCTCCTCTCTCTCCTCTTGGTGATTTTCTCCATGAAACTCCTGTTACATAGACCTTGGAACTTCCTCCATTACTAATGCTTCTTCCTTTTGTATTCACTAAGTCTCTGCATTTGTGCAATTTCTGGTAGGACCCCCTAGTCCCGTCTCACAGCTGGCTGACCCACTGGTTGGCGTTGTTGGTGTTACTTGGTTTCCTGCTTGTTGGCGCGGGTGTTCTTCAGCACCTCTCTGGGCCTGGCATCTGCTCCTTGGGGTGACCTTTTCTTTTTTTCTTTTTTTTTTTATTTGACAGGCAGAATTATAGGCAGAGAGAGACAGAGAGAAAGGTCTTCCTTCCATTTATTCACCCCCAAAATGGCCGCCACGGCCGGTGCTGTGCCGATCTATAGCCAGGAGCCAGGTGCCTCTTCCTGGTCTCCCATGCGGGTGCAGGGCCCAAGAACCTGGGCCATCCTCCACTGCCTTCCCGGGCCACAACAGTGAGCTGGACTGGAAGAGGAGCAACCGGGACAGAATCCAGCGCCCCACCGGGACTAGAACCCGGTGTGCCAACGCCGCAGGCAGAGGATTAGCCAAGTGAGCCACAGCGCCAGCCAAGGGGTGACCTTTCCTAATGGGACCCTCTGCCCTTGGCTCAACACCTGCACCAAAGATGGGTGACAGCCACCATGCAGACGCCAGTCACGTTTTCTCACTGAGCCGTCTGGCTGCAGTCGGCTCTCCTTGTTCTCAGTTGTTCCCACAGGCACTGAATCAGTGCCTGCTGACTTGGTGAGCACAGAAGCACTGCTCCCTGGGGAAAGTCAGGGTTTTGTTCCCGCCGAGCTTCCGGCCACATTTGGTCATCAGCCCATCAGCACGCAGCCTTGCTCTATGTGAGCTTCTGGCAGAAGACGCTGATGTGCCCTATGCCTTTGATTCACTAGTGTTGAGCTTGTGTCCAGCAAAACTGTGACTCAAGTTTACGTGGCTCTTGTTTCCTCTGTAGGGCGCTTCACAGCCGAGTGTCTGGGAACATCAGGCAGTACTTACGCACTGCCCAGGGGAGTTTTAAACAGTGACGTCACCAGCAGTAAGCATGAAAATGCAGCAGTAGGGCGTGACAGGGAGGTCTGTTTAAGGTATGTGTTGAGACAAGGGAAGGGATTGCTTTTCCTGCCTTATGTGGGAACAAGTGCAGAGGTAACTCAAACATGTGGTAACTCCGCAAGCATGAGGGGTCTTCCAAAAGTTCTTGGGAAATGCATGCTGTGTCAAAGGGGCTGGCGCTGTGGCGCAGTGGGTTAAAGCCCTGGTCTGAATCACCGGCATCACATATGGGCACCGATTCTAGTCCCAGCTGCTCTTCTTCTGATCCAGCTCTCTGCTGTGGCCTGGGAAAGCAGTAGAAGATGGCCCAAGTCCTTGGGTCCCTGCACCTGAGTGGGAGACCCAGAAGAAGCTCCTGGCTCCTGGCTTCTGATCGGCACAGTTCCAGCTGTTGTGGCCAATTGGGAGTGAACCATTGGATGGAAGACCTTTCTCTCTCTACCTCTCTCTCTAACTCTGCCTTTCAAATAAATAAAAAAGTAAATATTTAAGAAAAAAGTCATGAATTTTACATTGTTTTTGCAAAAAAATAAACTTACCTGTCGATTCCACCTTCCATGAACTTTCTGAAGGACCTTCACATAGCTAATGTGAGTATTGGTGTCACGAATGCTTTCAGCCAATGGGTGAACCCACAAACATGAAGTTGCCAGCAGTGAGGAGTGGCTGCATGCCGGGGATCCTCCCCACACCCTGTACTCACTGCCCCGCGCCGCCGTATCCAGGGAGAGCTGGTCACCGGCTGCCCCCTTGTTGAAGCCAGCCTGTGCTTCTCAGGGAATCCTCAGCATTTCTGCATAACTGATTGGAATCTTTCTTGATTTTTGGTCCTGTTTGTTGAAACGTATTTTATATTTTGGGGGTGGGGGACAGATATGAAGTGGGAGGGACTATTCCTCTTTCATGGCTGCTTCTCCCCATAGCTGCTGCCTGTGCGCTCTCTTTCTCTGACTGTGGTATTGGCACCAGCGCCCTCTGTGCATCCTGCCTTTCGCTGACAATGCTGTCTCTCTCTCTTTTTTTAAAGATTTATTTATTTTACTTAAAACTCAGAGTTACACAGAGAGAGGAGAGGATAGGGAGAGGGAAAGAGAGAGAAAGAGAGAGGTCTTCCATCTGCTGGTTCACTCTCCAGATGGCCACAACAGCCAGAGCTGCACTGATCCGAAGGCTGGAGTCAGGAGCTTCCTCCGGGTCTCCTATGTGGGTGAATGGGCCCAAGGACTTGGGCCCTCTTCTGCTGCTTTCACAGGCCACAGCAGAGAGCTGGACAGGAAGTGGAGCATCCAGGTCTCAAACCGGCGCCCATATGGGATGCTGGCACTTCAGGCCGGGGCTTTAATCCACTGCGCCACAGCGCTGGCCCCTGACAATGCTATTTCAACAAACTCAGCCTGGTTATGTTGTTTCCATCAGCTCCATGTGCCCCCCAGGTAGTCCTGCCTCATTGGTGAGATGTGGGGGGTTTTCCATGGACTGCCCTCTGTCCAGCCATTTCTGATGGTCACCACTCCCAGTCACCCCCATCACCTGCTCTGTGACAGGTTGCTTCTGGGGCCACCTTTGTTTCCCTGGAAGCTTCAGGGTATTAATTGCTGTCCCCTTGGCCCCAACTCTGTTTGGCAAGTACCAGTTTACCTTTCGGGATTCAGGTCAGGTATCCTTTAAATTTGAAGCCTGCCTTGGATCCCATTCTTTAACAATTTGTGGATTCTCTCCTATGCATAAAATTTATTTCCTTTGGAACACCCTGGATTTCCGCCTTCCTTTATGAATTAATGCTGAGGAATGATTTTCATGCAACAAAATAATGACAAGTATTGAATGTTTGGTTCAGTAAGTCTTTTTCTTTTTGATGGCTAGTTTGGTTGATTCCTTTTTTATCAATTTTTAAAAAGATTTATTTAATTTATATGAAAGGCAGAGTTGGAGAGAGAGAAAGAGAGAGATCTTCCATCCACTTGGTTCACTCCCCAAATGGCCACAATGGCAGGAGCTGAACCTGTCTAAAGCCAGGAGCTTCATCTGGGTGCAGGAGCCCATGCACTGGGGCACCTTCTACTGCTTTCCCAGGCCATAGCAAGAGCTGGATCAGAAGAGGAGCAGCCACAGCATCCAGTGACTTTTCTGAAGATCCAGTGTGGTCTGACTGAGGGTTTGGGGGGATCTGAGAGCACTCCTGCGTGGTTCTGCTATGTTTTAAAGCTGTTCAGGGGCTGGTGCTGTGGCATAGCCCGTAAAGCCACCGCCTGCAGTACTAGAATCTCATAGTAGGCACTGGTTCAAGTCCTGGCTGCTTCACTTCTGATCAAGCTCCCTGCTTATGGCCTGAGAAAGCAGAGGAAGATGGCCCAAGTCCTTGGGTCCCTGTATGCACGTGGGAGACCTGGATGAAGCTCCTGGCTTTGGATCAGGCCAGCCTTGGCTGTTGTGACCATTTGGGGAGTGAACCAGTAGATGGAAGACCGACCTCCCTCCCTCCCTCCCTCCCTCCCTCCCTCCCTCCCTCTCTCTCTTCCTCTGCCTTTCAAATAAATAAATAAATTCTTAAAAAAAAAGGTCAGATCTCTCTTACTTTTTTTTTTTTTTGACAGGCAGAGTGGACAGTGAGAGAGAGAGACAGGTGAGAAAGGTCTTCCTTTTGCCGTTGGTTCACCCTCCAATGGCCGCCGCGGCCTTTGCGCTGTGGCTGGCGCACCACGCTGATCCGATGGCAGGAGCCAGGTACTTATCCTGGTCTCCCATGGGGTGCAGGGCCCAAGCACCTGGGCCATCCTTCACTGCACTCCCTGGCCACAGCAGAGAGCTGGCCTGGAAGAGGGGCAACCGGGACAGAATCCGGCGCCCCGACCGGGACTAGAACCCGGTGTGCCGGCGCCACAAGGCAGAGGATTAGCCTATTGAGCCGCAGCGCCGGCCAAGATCTCTCTTACTTTAAAAGAAGCTCCAGAGGTGCTGCTTCTCTGAAGACAAGAAAGCAGGTTGCCGAGGTGGCTTAGGAACCTCCGTGATTTCTGTAGGATCTCCTGTGGTAGGGTCAGCTTTGCCTGCAGCGTGGGTCTAGATAATTGAACATATAATGGTTAGGAAAATAATTTGTCCTCCAAAGAACCTTGCATTACAGTCTTGTTCCCGCAGTCTTCGTGAATGCAATGCATTAATATCAGTGGATCCAGTATGGCCCCAGCGGGAGGTCCTTGGGTCACTGGGAGGATAGCTGTTGAAATGGCGCTGTTGTCTGAGTCCCGCCTGGACCCGTGGTTGTGCCTTGCACACACTCTGTCCTTGACAGTGTCCAGCAGAGGCCAGGGTAATGAGGCTGCCTGCCCTGGACTGTGAGCCTGTAGACCAAGCTAGGAGGAGCACTGCCATCTGAGGTGTTTCGGCTGAAGTAACAGAAGGCAGACGGAGGCAGCTTGTGCTTTGAGCCCAGACCCTGCTGTGATGCTGTGGCGCCCCGGCGGGGCAGGGCCTGGGGTCCAGCTCACTGGAAGCTGAGTCACGAGACAAGATGCATGGTTTGATGTCCACAGTAGGGAACTTCTGTGTGTGTGTACGTGGGCATGCGAGTGTGTTTCTGCTACCTACATGCATGTGTGCATGTTCGTGTGCCTGGTACATGTCTGTGACCATGTGTATGCACATGTGTGTGTATCTGTGGGTGCACCTGTGTTTTCTGAGTGCAGGGGAGTTGGTGACATTTGTTGAGGAGACTGAGACCCATGGTCCATCCGAGTCTAAGGAAAGTCCTTGCTTCCCCACCACCCCCTCCCAGGGGCAGCTTCTGTCCAGCCCAGCTCTGTCCTGGCCATGCTTTAGGTGTGAACAGGAGGCATCCTCTGAGTACTCACCAAAACCCTTGGAGGCTGAGGACCTGTTAGAGGATGATCCAGGTGAGGGGTTCAGGAGCCATCTGCAGATCAATGCATTTCCTCCAAAGGTCCTGCTTTTCTGTTCCAGTGTGCACACCTCACACACACAGTGTAGCACTGTGCCTGTCCCTGTGTGCACACCTCACAACACACAGTGTAGCACTGTGCCTGTCCCCATGTGTACACCTCATACCACACATAGTGTACCACTGTGCCTGTCCCCATGTGCACACTTCACACACACAGTGTAGCACTGTGCCTGTCCCCGTGTGTACACCTCATATTACACATAGTGTATGTGCCTGTCCCCATGTGTACACCTCACACACACAGAGGGTGTAGCACTGTGTCTGTCCCCATGTGTACACCTCACACACACAGTGTAGCACTGTGCCTGTCCCCATGTGTATACCTCACACACACAGAGGGTGTAGCACTGTGTCTGTACCTGTGTGCACACCTCACACACACAGTGTAGCACTGTGCCTGTCCCCATGTGTATACCTCTCACTACACAGTGTAGCACTGTGCCTGTCCCTGTGTGCACACCTCACACACACAGTGTAGCACTGTGCCTGTCCCTGTGTGCACACCTCACACACACAGAGGGTGTAGCACTGTGTCTGTCCCCATGTGTATACCTCTCACTACACAGTGTAGCACTGTGTCTGTCCCTGTGTGCACACCTCACACCACACAATGTAGGACTGTGCCTGTTCCCGTGTGTACACCTCATACCACACATAGTGTACCACTGTGCCTGTCCCCATGTGTACACCTCACACACACAGAGGGTGTAGCACTGTGCCTGTCCCTGTGTGCACTCCTCACACACACAGAGTGTAACACTGTGCCTGTCCCTGTGTGCAAACCTCACACACACACAGTGTAGCACTGTGCCTGTCCCCATGTGTACACCTCATACCACACATAGTGTACCACTGTGCCTGTCCCCATGTGTACACCTCACACACACAGAGGGTGTAGCACTGTGCCTGTCCCCATGTGTACACCTCACACACACAGAGGGTGTAGCACTGTGCCTGTCCCTGTGTGCACTCCTCACACACACAGAGTGTAACACTGTGCCTGTCCCTGTGTGCAAACCTCACACACACACAGTGTAGCACTGTGCCTGTCCCCATGTGCACACCTCACACACACAGAGGGTGTAGCACTATGCCTGTACCTGTGGCACACCTCACACACACAGTGTAGCACTGTGCCTGTCCCCATGTGTATACCTCTCACTACACAGTGTAGCACTGTGTCTGTCCCTGTGTGCACACCTCACACCACACAATGTAGGACTGTGCCTGTTCCCGTGTGTACACCTCATACCACACATAGTGTACCACTGTGCCTGTCCCCATGTGTACACCTCACACACACAGAGGGTGTAGCACTGTGCCTGTCCCTGTGTGCACTCCTCACACACACAGAGTGTAACACTGTGCCTGTCCCTGTGTGCAAACCTCACACACACACAGTGTAGCACTGTGCCTGTCCCCATGTGTACACCTCATACCACACATAGTGTACCACTGTGCCTGTCCCCATGTGTACACCTCACACACACAGAGGGTGTAGCACTGTGCCTGTCCCCATGTGTACACCTCACACACACAGAGGGTGTAGCACTGTGCCTGTCCCTGTGTGCACTCCTCACACACACAGAGTGTAACACTGTGCCTGTCCCTGTGTGCAAACCTCACACACACACAGTGTAGCACTGTGCCTGTCCCCATGTGCACACCTCACACACACAGAGGGTGTAGCACTGTGCCTGTCCCCGTGTGTACACCTCATACACACAGAAGGTGTAGCACTGTGTCTGTCCCCATGTGCACACTCACACACACAGAGGGTGTAGCACTGTGCCTATCCCTGTGTGCACACCTCACAACACACAGTGTAGCACTGTGCCTTTTTCTGTGTGCACACCTCACACCACACGGTATAGCACTGTGCCTGTCCCCAAGTGTACACCTCACACTACACAGAGGGTGTAGCACTGTGCCTTTTTCTGTGTGCACACTCACACACACAGAGGGTGTAGCACTGTGCCTGTCCCCATGTGTACACCTCACACTACACAGAGGGTGTAGCACTGTGCCTGTCCCATGTTCACACCTCACACCACACGGTATAGCACTGTGCCTGTCCCCGAGTGTACACCTCACACTACACAGAGGGTGTAGCACTGTGCCTGTCCCATGTTCACACCTCACATCACATGGTATAGCACTGTGCCTGTCCCCATGTGTACACCTCACACTACACAGAGAGTATAGCACTGTGCCTGTCCCCATGTGTATACCTCACAACACACAGTGTAGCACTGTGTGTCCCCGTGTGTCCACCTCATACCACACAGAGTGTAGCACTGTGCCTGTCCCTGTGTGCACACCTCACACATACAGTGTAGTACTGTGCCTGTCTCTGTGTGCATACCTCACACACACAGTGTAGCACTGTTCCTGTTCCTGTGTGTACACCTCACACACACAGAGTGTAGCACTGTGCCTGTCCCTGTGTGTACACCTTACACCACACAGTGTAGTACCATCTACTGTTCTTGTGGACCATTTCTTCCTTTTCACAGTGTTCTGTGCACCTTTTGGTTGTTAATATACATGATATTAGACCATAATAAGCAGCTCTGAAGCAGTCATTTTTATTGATAGAACTTCATGAATTAAAAAATGTGCAGGTTAGTGAGGGAAGCCTGGATGGTGTTGTGGCCCAGTTGTGAAGCCACTGCTTGTGACACCAGCACCCGTGTCGGAGAGCTGGCTCACATCTTGGCTGCTCTGATCCCCATCCAGCCTCCTCCTAGTGCATCTCGAAGGCACCAAAAGATGGTGAAAGTGCTTGGGCCCCTCCCACCACCCATAGTATACCTGGAGAAGTCCCTGGTTCTGGCTCTGGCCTGGCCCAGCCCTGGCTGTTGCAGTCTTCTAGGGAGTGAACTGCAGGGTGCAAGATCTCACTGTTGTCCAGTCTCTGCCTGTCAGACAGTTCTTTAAAACGAGAGAACAGGAAAGGGCTCGTGCATGAAGAAGCAATGTGAAGATGTGGTCACGTGTCTGCTGATGAATGCGCCTCATCTCCTTGAGGAGAGACCCAGTGAGAAAGATCAGGGCTGTCAAAGGCCCAGTGGATCCTGGTTTTATGCAAAAACCTGCAGCTCGCAGCGCCGGCCTTCATTAAAGTGGAATCTCGATGCTTTCCAAGACCAAGCCTCGCTCAGGAAGGGAAGAGCGCGGGAGCCCCAGGAGTGCTGTGGGAGGTGTCGCTGTGGATCTCCCCTTAGCACGGCCTCCTCAGAAGGCTGCTGTGGCAGTGGGGCTGGCTGTGGGGTGGGCTCAGCTGAATGGGCATTTGGAACACCTGCCTCTCTGGGTCCATGGCTGCGTCTTCCCGCCGTCCAACAGCATGACTCTCATAATGACAATGTGTTCACAGGAGCTCGTTTTATCTTCCCGAGTTCAAACGCGAGCAGCCCTCCCTGTGTGCTGTTCGCTACCTAGCACGCTGGTTGTGCTGCATGTGCTACTGGGGTCACCCCTGTGCAGTCCTGGGCTGCGGGCATTCCCTGTGCTCCAGCTCGTTTGCAGGCATGCAGGTCAGGCAGTGGGTGGTGTCCTGGGAGCCCGGGCCATCCACTGTGCTCTGTCCAGGCCACACCTTCATTCCTGACCCTGTCTGTCCTGGGTTAAAGTCAGAGATCTGATAGCCGCACAGGGAGGGACTCCTGCCCTGGGCCGTTTTTCTGTTGGCTTCTGCCCTGCCTGATTGTGTGTGGGTGGTGGAGGAACCACAGCTGACCCATCTGCATTTTCTCAACCCTAACCTTGTGTCTTGCTCTGTGCTAAAACACTGGGGACCACAGTGGGTGAGGCCACGGTTGGTGCTTGTAGCCCTGAGCGGCGCCTCTGAGCACCTCCCAGGGTCCCCCCACAAGGAAGCTTGTCAGGCTGGGTTTTCCCTAACTTATTTAAAGACCAGAGGTGCTTTGCTCATGCTGTATGTTCTGGGGCCATGTGCAGGTCACATCTGAGGCCTTTCCAGCCATCAGGTACCTGTTTTCAGGGGCCAGCATGGGCCTCTGAGACAAGTGGACAGGGAGGCCCCTCTCCAGATGCAGAGACAGGCGTGCAGGTGGGGCAGTGACAGCAGACACAGCTGAGAACAGGAGGACTGTGTGGGCCAGGAGAGGGTCCGTGAGCACTGTATGGGGTTTGATTGAGGCCAGAGAATGGGTCGTGAAACAGCTCACACCAGTGCCACCGCGGCTGAGCTCGGCAGTGCACAGGGCCTGGGGTGGTCCCCATAGCTGGGAAGGATCCTGGCTTCACCCTGGGGTCTGCTCAGAGGCCACCTCTGAGGGGACCTCCTGGGTTCCCCTGAGTGCGGCGGCCTCAGCCAGGACAGAGCTGGCCTCACACTTCAGCTCCTCCAGTGTTAGAGGAGTCGCATGAGGGCCACATCCACCGTGGTGCAGCCCTTGTGTGTAGCCACAGCCCTGTGAGGCAGCACCTCCGTGCCACTGCATTTTACAGCTCCCCTGTAGGAGTGTGCTCCAAAAGTCATGGCAAATTGAAAAACATAAGTTCATTGTCAAAATTTTTGAAACACACGGATTTTCATGTTGCACAGTTTCACGAACTTTTTGTAACCTAAATTATCACCTTTTATTCATTAATTATTGCATTTCTGAAAAATTTTGTTGTGTATTTTGAGGTTTATAATGTGATTTTATAGGATAAAAAAGTGAAATGGTTAAATAGGGTGAAGATGTCCATCATTTGACATCGTTGATACACTGCAGATACAGATGGTCTCACAGGGTGAGGATGTCTATGGTCGGGGTCACAGGGTGAGGGTGTTCATGGTCTTACAGGTTGAGGGTGTCCATGTTCAAGGGGTCAGTGTGGTGAGGGCATCCATGGTCAAAGGGTCACAGGGTGAGGGTGTCCATAGTCTCACAGGGTGAGGGTGTCCATGATCAAGGGGTCAGTGTGGTGAGGATATCCACGGTCAGGTTGTCACAGGGTGAGGGTGTCCATGATCTCACAGAGTGAGGACATCCATGGTCAGGGGGGTCAGTGTGGTGAGGGCATCCATGGTCAGGGGGTCACAGGGTGAGGACTTCCATGGTCTCACAAGGTAAGGCATCCATGCTCTCACAGGGTGAGAGCATCCATAGTCAGGTGGTCAGGGTGCTGAGGGCATCCATCATCTCACATGCTTTGCATGTGACTAAAGATAGGCAGAATCTCCTGTGTAGCTGAAGTCTGTTACAACACCATTTGAGTGATTGACAGTGAGATGCATCTTTGTGGCCATGGCTGTTCTGTGTGAGGTTGAATGGGAGCAGGGGCCAAGGCTCTGTGGCTGCTGTGGTCATAACTGGTTCCAGTGTCATGTCACTTGTTCTCCATGACCTCTGATCACTCCAGAGCCTTGTTCTCCACATCAGTGTGGGGTTTGACAGCTCCCAACCAGCTTGAGAGCAGATTCATGGTGAGGAATGCGATTTCTCCTGCTTGGCAGGCAAAGTGCACCGTGCCTCGGCTTTTCATCCTTCCTTCCTTCCAAGATTTACTTTATTTATTTGAAAGGTGGAGTTATAGAGAGAGAGAGAGAGTCAGAGACAGAGAGAGATCTTCCATCCACTGGTTCACTCCCCAAACAATTACGATGACTGGGGCTGGGCCAGGCCTAAGCCAGGAGCCAGGAGCTCCTTCCAGCTCTGCCACGTGTGTGCAGGGGCCCACACACTTGTACATCATCTACTGCTTTCCTAGGCCATCAGCAGGGAGCTTGATCAGAAGTGGAGCAGATGGGACTAGAACCGGAGCCCATATGGGATGCCAGCTCTGCAGGCCTGGACTTCACCTGCTATAGCACAGCACAGGCCCATTGCCTTAGCTTTTCTGCCCCACCTCATCACAGTCGAGTCATGCTTAAGAGCACAGTGGATGAGCACGTTGTCTTTGTACTGTGCCGCTGGTCAGGAATCGGCATTTCTCTAGCTCTGCAGGAGACGCAGTCCTGGACACAGTGATGCGTCTGCAGGTATGGTCCAGCTTGGCTCAGCGCGGGTGTCCAGCTGCCTCCCTTCTCTCCAGGTGGGAGGGTGCATGCTGTGGGCTCACAGAGCCTGTTTCTCGATGGCCGCACGCTGGTATTCATTGCCCTTGGCCTCAGAGAGTTCCTGCCACAGAGATCTTTAGAAGCAGGGGATGCACTGCCCGTCCAGTCAGTGGAGAATTCTATGCTCCCTGGAGTCCCAGCTCTTCTGATGGCTCCTTGAAGCCTGACTTAGCTTGGTGACTCTGGGGCGTCTGAGGTGACCGCTTCCCTCTTCACCCTCTTAGATGTTCGTGCTCCAGTTCCCAGGCTGTCAGTTCCGAGAAGGGTTGGCGATAATGGGCTCCATGCACTTAGCATCCCCAGGCACTCAGCCCCTGGCTGGCCCCTGCGTGAGCTGTGGCTGCAGTGAGCGGCTTCCAGCAGCACTGCCTGACTGCCACGTCATCAGGGACCACAGGAAGCGCTGACCTGGTATTGCTTGCTCTGTGTCCTGCAGTGTGCAGTGGACACTCTGAGCTGCCTGTACTTTTCCAGGAAGATTCTGACAGAAGAAGGAAAGTTATCTCTTCTTTTCCCCACCATGCTTCTCTCACTCTAACTCGGCTGAAGCCGTGCAGCATGGGGGCCGAGTGCCCCACGCTGACTTCCGCTTTGGAGGCTTCAGATCTTCCCCGGGCTGTTTGCACGCTCTTATTGTCTAAAGGAAATGGCTTCTCTCGCGATAGTGACGGAATAGTAATGATTTCGATGAAGCTGTCTCAGTGGGGATCTCAGAAAGGGTGACCCCGTCTTCCCTGCCACACCCCATAGTCCCTGGAATTACCCCTCGGTTCCAGGAAGCTGTTCTCTGGTCTCTGCTCTGCCAGTGTCTTGGGGCTGGGTTCCCTCTGCACTGCTGCTGTGTCCTTGCTCATGTCTCACTCCTCCCCTCACTCAGGGTCCCCCTGAAATCCAGCTTGTGCCCACAGCCAGGCAGTTCCCCACTCACAGCAGGGCCCCGTGCAGGGGCCCCTGGGGTTGCTTGTCACCTGAGGTTCTGGAGGCTGCTGACGTCCTGCATGTACTTTTGTTTCTCTTGTTTGGACAGGATCCAGACTGAGAGCACAGCCAGCACTCAGTCTCACATTGGCAGGGGACCTGCATTCAGAATTTCCACTTGGGCTGCTGGCTCACCAAGTTTTCGTCCTGCCTTCCACGTGAGTGGTCGAGGCTCCAGGAGCCAGGAAGGAGTGCGCAGAGTGGGCAGGGGTGCAGGGGGAGGTCTTGGCTCTGTAGGGAAGCTGAGAGCTGGGTTTTGTGGGGAAATGCGGCAGCAGGTGGGCCATCTTCCTCTGCTTTCCCAGGCCATTACCAAGGAGCTGGATTGAAAGAAGAGCAGCCAGGACATGAACCGGCACCCATATGGGATGCTGGTGTCGCAGGCGGCAACTTAACCATAATGCCAGCCCCTCTGGTGATATTCTAGGTGTAGTGGCAGGAGACTTCTTCAACATGGATAAGAACCTGAGGGTTTTTTAAAGTCCATGGAAATGAATATTATGGAGAAACCAGGCATGGGCTTCAGTAATTTTTGCTTCAAAATAAACTTTTATTTCCATGTTTCCATGAATTTCTTGAAGTACCCCTCGTATACTTGGCATCTCAACCACAAACATGGAAGTAATTGGGAAAAGCCAAAATATGGAACAAACAGAGATGCTACAGTTCCTTTTACTGTTTATGAGTCTGCAGTCTCCATTTAATATGTTGGGAGAGCACATGAGCTATGAGAAACCAAGACTTCTTTCTGATAGGTTTCGCAGTCTCAGGATGAGTCCTGTTGTGACTGTACAGCATGTAGGGAAGTCGTGGGGGACTGGGTCCTGCTCTCAGAGACCTCTCCAGAACCACAAATGGCACAGGAGTGCTGGAGATTAACTGGGGAAGAAGCCATGACAGAAGAGTTGGAAGGACATGAAACAGTACCAGGTGCTGAATGGAAATTCAGTGTGCAGTCTTGTCACTCCCTACAGGTGTGTGTGTGTGAGTTTGCACATACCCTAAGGGGTGTATATGTGCATGCATACTGTAATGGATATGTGTGTGAGTGTGTGTGTGTGTGCCCTAAGGGGTGTGCGTGTGTGTGTGTGTGAGTGTGCAATACTCTGAGGGGTGTATATGTGCATGCATGCAGTTAGGGCTATGTGTGTGTGAGTGTGTGTGTGCCCTAAGGGGGTATGTGTGTCTGTGTGTACATGAACACACACGCACACCTGTGTGCCATATGACATGTGTGAGTGTGTGTGCATATGTGTGTGTACATGTATGCCTGCCTGTGTGCCTGTATGCCAGAAAGGGTGTGTGTATGTGGGAATGCATGTACCCTACGGGGTGTGTGTGTGCGCATGTGTGCATATGTGCATACTTGTGTGAAGATATGTATGTTTGAGAGTGTGTGTGAGCCCTAAGGGGTGTGTGTGTGTGTCTTGCATCAGGACTTTTTCCTGTGTCTGTGTGTACACACCTGTATGCCTGTGTACCATAAGATATGTATGTATGAGAGTGAGTGTGAGCCCTAAGGGGTGTGTGTGTGTGCGCATGCACACACATATGCACACCTTTGTGTCATAAGATATGTATGTGGTGAGAGTGTGTGTGAGCCCTAAGGGGTGTGTGTGTGTGTGCGTGTCTGTGTGTACATGCCTGCATACCTGTGTGCCATTAGATATGTATGTGTGAGCCCTAAGGGGTGTGTGTGTGTGTCTGCAAACATACCTGTATGCCTGTGTGCCATTAGATATGTGTGTGTGAGAGTGTGTGTGAGCCCTAAGGGGTGTGTGTGTGTGTCTGTGTGTACACGCCTGCATGCCTGTGTGCCATTAGATATGTATGTGTGAGAGTGCGTGTGAGCCCTAAGGGGTGTGTCTGTGTGCACATGCACATGCATATATGAGCACACCCATGGCACAGCTTGCATCAGGACCTCTTCCTGTTTGTGGCAGCAGTGAATGTAGGCATGGGGGATCTGGTTAGGGGATGGGAGCATTAACTTTGCAGAATACATTTGCTGGGGGGAATGACACAGACTTCTAAAGGAAACCTGGGAGGGGGTCCTGGTGTGCTGGGAGATAGGTCGTTCTACAGAACTGTGGGGAGCAACTGAGACTAGACTAAGTTACTGGAATTAAGACTTATTCTATGCATCTGCTCTCCCACAATATGGAGCTGAGAGAGACACCAAACAACCTCTACACAGCTGCCTCTCACCAGTTTGACTGATAAGCTGCAGGAGCTGATCCTGCTCCTGATTGGAGGAGAGCAGCATGCTCCGCGTGTGGGTAGCAGAGTTGGGATTGGTGGAAGAGGACTATAAAAGAGGAGAGAGACAACATGCACCAGGAACATCCGGATAACATCTGAGCAGCCCCCAAGAGAGCCGGCCGGCGGTGTGCCGCTCCCCCGTGGAAGTGGGGAAAGTGGCAGGGGGAGCCGCCCCTCCACAGAGGTGGAGGGGTCGGTAGCCAACCCGGGAAGGACCAGCAGCAAACCCGGGAAGGGCCGAGCAGACAAAAGAACAGCGCAGGGTCCTGTGTCGTTCCTCCGCGAAGAGGGGGAGCGGCAAGAACAAATATGTATGGCTGGCACAGTTCAAGTCAGTGAAGAAAACATGGTCTATTTGGTAAATTTGCTGGGATAATTTGTTATATATCAGAGACAAAATAAAATTAATTTCCACCTCATATCACAAAGGATTGAAGACTTTAAATATCTAATCATCAAAACATTACAAAAGTTCTAAAAGGAAATATAATGTAATGTGCTTTTCATACTGTACATTTTGAAGGTCTTTTTAATTACAGAAACTATTAAGAAAGATTGATATTTGGACACACATTAAAGCCCTTCTCCATAGTTGAAATCCTGTAATGTGGTTAACAGGTGAATGAGAAATAGAGCGAAGATGTTTGCAGTGGAGAAAAGAGTGGTCTGGTACACTCAACAGGATTTTAGGTGGTGACTGAAAAATCTACCCCCAAAGGAAAAGTGAGGAAGAGGCAAATTACACAGGAATGCAGTTGCTCAAAAGCCTTATTAGAAGATCTAAACTCCGTGGAAATGGCCAGAAACTTATTTTCCCCCAGAAGCCAAACCAAAAAGGTTGGTAACTTGCACCTGTGCATTGGAACAGGACCTTTGGCAGCATGTGGGGCGAGCGTGCTCTACTTATGGGCTTCTGTCTTCCAGAAACTCACAAGGATCCTACAGAAACATGCAGAACTCTTAACAACCAGGAAAACCGGGAGCTGCCCCAAAGCCCAAGCATGAGGGTCTCATAGGGCCAGTTACGACTCGTCAGTGCATCCAGTGGTCCATGTACTGGCGAGGAGAAGCGTCGTCCAGAATGTGAGGGGTTTGGTCAGCAGGCAGCTGTCTGTTCTGAAGGCAGAGCTCCCAGGGTGTGTGCCTGGGAGCGAGCGTGCCCGCATGACTCCCACCACAGACCTGTGTCTCCTGGGAGCGAGCCAGGGGTTGACTTTCCACTTCATTCACTGTTGTGTATCACTTACCAGAGGTGCTTGTCAGAGGAAGCAACAGCTGCTTTCCCTCCTTGTTGCTTGGCATTTGGTGACCTTCATCAAAGGCACATGTGGTTGGAGGTGTTGGTGGCTGTTTTCAGAAGATGGACGCAAAGCAGTGCCCCTGAGTGTCATGAGACCCACGGATGTGATCCCAGTTCCTGAGGGCCACACAGAGCATGTGGAGGGTAATGCTGATGGGGCCAGCTCAGTGCCACGTGACCAGCAAGTTTCCTCCGACTCAGCTTCGTCTGGGTCGTTGTGGGGAGAGTGATTTCCTGTGTTAGTATGCAGTGAGAAGACAGAATTTCATAGTATACCCATACTCCTTGTTACCTGAGTGGATAGCAGGTTTTCCCTGGGAAGGAAAGCATCGGTTATTAATACTTGTAGGAACTGCTCCTTTGTGTCCTTCATGGGGTCTGCCTGGTTCTCTGCAGAGACAGTCTGAATTTACAGATGCTGATTCTGTCATCAAGTGGCAGAAGGATACCAACTTCTAAATCACAGTGTGGTTTTACTGTTCTCTTTGGTTTAATTTCCTGGAGTTTTTTATACCATTACCATTTCAAGTCCTGTTTTAGAGGTTTGGAGGTGTTTCCACAACTATACCCACTGTACACAAGTGTACCAACACCCAATGCTGTTGGTGTAGGCCTCCTGGTTCACAGTCACATTAACCTGGGAATTTCCTTCACAACACCCAGTACTGTCAGTGTAGGCCTCCCTGGTTCACAGGTTGAGCTGAATGCAGGTGTACCATATTCCAGGGACTTCCTTAACAACACCTGATGCTGTCACTGTAGGCCTCTCTGGTTCACAGTCGCACTGACCCAGGGACTTCCTTAACAACACCCAATGCTGTTGGTGTAGGCCTCCTGGTTCACAATCATGCTAACCCGGGAACTTCCTTAATAAAATACGATGCTGTCGGTGTAGGCCTCCCTGGTTCACAGTCGCATTAACCTGAGAATTTCCTTCACAACACCCAATGCTGTCAGTGTAGGCCTCTCTGGTTCACAGTCACACTGACCCGGGGACTTCCTTCACAACACCCAATGCTGTCAGTGTAGGCCTCCTGGTTCACAGTTGTGCTGGCCCAGGGACTTCTTTAACAACACCCAATGCTGTTGGAGTAGACCTCCCTGGTTCACAATTATACTGAATGCAGGTGTACCACATGCCAGGAACTTCCTTAACAGCACCCAATGCTGTTGGTGCAGGCCTCCTGGTTCACAATCAAGCTGAATGCAGGTGTACCACTTGCCGGTAACTTCCTTAACAACACCTGATGCTTTCGGTATAGGCCTCCCTGGTTCACAATCATACTGAATGCAGGTGTACCACATGCTGAGGACTTCCTCAACAACACCTGATGCTATTGGTGTAGGCCCCCTTGATTCACAATTGAGCTGAATGCAGGTGTATCACATGCCAGGAACTTCCTTAACAACACCTAATGCTGTTGGTGTAGGCCTTCTGGTTCACAGTCATGCTGGCCTGGGGACTTCTTTCACAACACCCAATGCTGTCGGTGTAGGCTTCCTTGATTCACAATTGAGCTGAATGCAGGTGTACCACATGCCAGGAACTTCCTTAACAACACCTGATGCTGTCAGTGTAGGCCTCCCTGGTTCACAGTTACACTGACCTGGGGACTTCCTTCACAACACCCAATGCTGCTGGTGTAGGCTTCCTGGTGCACAGTTGTGCTGGCCCAGAGACTACCTTTTTTTTTTTTTTTTGACAGGCAGAGTGGACAGTGAGAGAGAGAGAGAGAGAGAGAAAGGTCTTCCTTTTGCTGTTGGTTCACCCTCCAATGGCCACCATGGCCAGTGCACCACACTGATCCGAAGGCAGGAGCCAGGTGCTTCTCCTGATCTCCCATGGGGTGAAGGGCCCAAGCACTTGGGCCATCCTACACTGCACTCTAGGGCCACAGCAGAGAGCTGGCCTGGAAGAGGGGCAACCAGGACAGAATCCGGAGCCCCAACCAGGACTAGAACCCAGTGTGCCGGTGCTGCAAGGTAGAGGATTAGCCTATTGAGCCATGGCGCCGGCCATGACTACCTTAACAACACCTGATGCTGTTGGTGTAGGCCTCTTGGTTCACAGTCACACTGAATGCAGGTGTACCACATGCCAGGAACTTCCTTAGCAACACCCAATGCTGTTGGTGTAGGCCTCCTGGTTCACAGTCACCAGTCACTGGCCCGGGGGACTTCCTTAACAACACCCAATGCTGTCTGTCTGGGCTTCTCCCTTGGGCCTCCCTGGCACTTGCCACGATGTGGTTCTCAGCTGACTCAGTTGATGCTGTGTCTTTCCCTGGTGCATGGTGCTTGGCTCCTGATCATGTTCT